ACGTCAGCGCGGGCACGCGGCACAAGGTCCTGCTGCGGCGCCTCCTGGCCTCCTTCTTTGACCGGTGAGGCCCTTGCCAGGGCCCGGGGGGTGGGAGCAGGCTGGCCCATGCCCTCACTACCACAGGGGCCTGATCTCCCCCCACACCCCCGCCCCAGGAACACGCTGGCCAACAGCTGTGGTACTGGCATCCGCTCTTCCACGAACGACCCCAGACGCAAACCGCTGGATAGTCGCGTGCTCCACGCTGTCAAGTGTGAGTGCCCAGCCTTCTGGGGGTGGGCTGGGGCTGGGCTTAGGGTGGGCAGGTGGTCTTTTTTGCTGGTGTTGGCCTTCATGGATGGGTAGAGTTTGGTGTTAAGAAGGATTCTGAGGTTCAGTCTAGGCTAGGGAAGAGGACTGTGGTTGGTTAGAGATTTCTTCATGGTGGGGGGTGGGGCAGGGCACTGAAAGAAAGCCTGTGTCAGGCATGGGGAGGGGGTCCTCAAACTCAAGGTGGTCACGGAGTGATGAAGTAGCCCCTCCCCAGCCAGTTGTCAGGAGGGAAGTCTAAGTTTTCACAGGGAATCTTCTAGTTCCTGAATTCTAGCAAACAATCCATGTTTTTCAAGACTACTGGGCCATCCCAGCAACTTGCACGTCCCGTGCACACAGCAGAGCTGTCAGGCGTGTGGTTTAGGTGCTGTCTGCGGGACCTCTGTTCTCTCACTTCTGAATGGGGTTTGGGGTGACCTGTGCGAGCGTGTGCTTGAGGGGGTGTTCAGGAGTTGCGTGGCTGCCCCTGTCGGCGGGGCGGAAGGCCAGGGCCCTGCTTGGCCTGACTCGCCTGCTCTGCCCGCACAGACTACTGCCAGAGCTTTGCCCCCAACTTCAAGGAGAGCGAGATGAACGCCATCGCGGCTGACATGTGCACCAACGCCCGCCGCGTCGTGCGGAAGAGCTGGATGCCCAAGCTCAAGCTGCTCACGGCCGAGGGCGACGCCTATACCACCTTCATCAGCGACACGGGCAAGATAGAGCCAGACATGATGGGCGTGGAGCACGGCTTCGAGGCGGCCAGCCATGACAGCGAGGCGGGCCCGTCGGCCGAGGGCCTGCAGTAACCCCGCCGGGTCCTCCCGAGGGGCCTCACACTCCCCCTCCCGTCACACCCGCCCGCCGTCTTGGTCACGAGCTACTGTCTGTCCCTCCCCAGGACCCACGGGGGGGCGCTGCATGCTCCCGGCCCCTCTGCCCTGTCCCACCCCCTGACCTCCATCCGAGCGGGCTGGGCGAGGACGGCCATGGGCGAGCTGGGCGTGGCCTTCTCTTGCACACACTGGTGTGCGGTCGGGAGGTGTTGCCCCCTCCTGAACCCTAGCAATCGGCTCCCCATTCCCCCGGCCAGGACCCCCCAGGCCCTGGGCCGCGCACGGAAGCATTCCTCAGGCTCCGCCCCTCGTGCGGCCCCTGGGACTCGCAGGGGCCCTGGGGTTCTCAGGACCCCCCCGCCACCACCTCCCAGTGCTTCCACGTTTCCAAAAGCGCCTTCCTGTCCCTGCACCTGTGCCCGTGCCGGGGCGGCTGCGAGGGCCGCGGGGACTGCCCTTGCACAGCGGGAGACGGGCGCAGAAACTCCACGCCTCCCCTGCGGTCCCTTCTCCCTCCCGTCCGAGCGCAGCCTCTGGGGCCTGAGAGGGGCAGTCCCGAGTGAGGGGGCCCTTGGGGGCAGACTGGGGGTCTCTGAGGACAGAACGAGGGGCTTCCGGGGGTGGCAGAAGCGTGTGCGTATGTGTGCGCGCGTGCGTGTGTAGAAGTTTTGCTTTTAAACAAATGAAGATCGAGGAGGCAGCAGGACCAGGGTTGGAACCAGGGGAGCCGGCTGGGGGGGGCTGCTGTCCCCCCTCCCTTCCCCGCCCCGCCCCACGGCAGGGCTCCCAGCCCCCACCCCCTGTACATACTTTTTAAAACATTTTTTTAGCTAATGAAATATTGAAGTATAAGATTTCTTTTATTTTTCAAACCAGCAGGACTGTGTCTGCTGTCCCCTCCGGTCCCTGGGGCCGTGGAAGGCAGTACAGGGCAGGGGACCGGGGGCAGGCTGCAAGTGTGCATGTGTGTGGAGTGTGGGTGCGCGTCCCGAGGGGGCTCAGGCCCAGCTACCACCTCCCCCCGCTGCTCCCCCCAGGGCTGCCTTGAAGGGTGTCCCAGGCCTGGGCGCATTGGCTGAGCCCAGCTCTGGGGACGGGGCAGGCCTGCTTCCATCGTTCACAGCTGTCCGCAAAATCTTCTCTAAGCATTCCTCTCTCCTCGCTCAGGCGAGTGGTTTTGTTCTGAGTTGGACTTGTGAACTCGGAGGGTTCTTTTTAGTCCCCGTCCCCACACTGGGTGTCACTTCACATGTTGTGTTTCTGTCTTGAGCCCTGTCCTCACTGCCTCTCGTCTGCTCCCGGCCCCTCTCCAGAGGCAGGGGGATCCCGCCCCCACTGGCCCCCTGCAACCTGGCCGGGAGGCCCCGACCAGCAGCCCCGCCAGCCTGCGGGGGGCCCTCCTGGCATCTGCTTGTGGCGGGGCGGGGCTGGGGGGGGTCCTGGCACTCCGCTAGTCTCCCTCACCGGCGCCTTTCACCCCTGGCAGCCACGTGTGGGGGGTCGACACCCCAGCTAAAGCACAAGCACCTTAGTCACGCCCTTCCTGCCCCCACGTCCTGGTCTCCACACCCTACCCCAGCGTCGATCCCAAAGCACAATATCCTGGTCACTTGGTAAGCCACCCAAGGCCAAGGGGCGGGCTGGGGCCCCGCTAGACCCCAAAAGGAGGCAGGAGTCCCCAGGCGCTGCCCATCCTTCCAGGCCTTAGCAGGGGCCACTCTGGGACTGGGGTCTTGTCCCTCCCCTCCCCCTTGTCCTGGGCAGGCCCCTGCCCAGCCCTCCCTGCCTTGTCCTGGGGGGCAGCTTGCCCTGTCCCCCTCCCCCCTCTTCCAAGCCCCTGCAGCACTGGGCTGGGTGGCAGAGCCCCCTCATTTCAGGGACCCCAGGAGGTGCCCCTGGCTCCGGGACTGTGTGTGGGTCTGGGTGGGTGGGGGGTGGGGAGAGGGGCCAGGCTGGGGTGCAGGGGAGGAAACTCCTCACCAGGAGAGCCAAAGACAGGGTTGTGCCTTACCCCGGGAGCCACCCCGTGCCCCTCCCGCCCTGCCCCTCCCGGGCGGCCTGCTGCTTTCCCTCTGCCTGCCCTGCCCTGCTCTGAGCTGCATGGTCCCCCACCCCGGGCAGCCAGGAAGGAGTACAAATGGAGAATCACTGACCGACGCAGAAAGACTGTGGGGTCCGCCTCCCAGGCCGCCCGCCCACCCGCACCTCTGCCACGCAGGACAGACTGTGCCCTGTCCGCGTGGAGTGCCAACGCCCTCCCCCTGGCCGAGCCCCTCCCTGGGCCCGAACGTGAGATTGCACATTAACTACTGTACGGAGAAGAGCCGCACTGGGAAATGTGAACCTGAGCGTCAGTGATGCTGACAGGAGAATAAACGGACGCCTTTGTAACAGCCGGCCTGCACGCTGCTCACTGGGGCGGGGGGCTCCACACCCACAGGGGCAGCCGGGCCCCGCTCAGGATCAGCCGTGCCCTTTTCAGAGGGAAACAGAGGCTCAGAGCCAGGCAGCTGACAGCTTCCACGTACAGCCTTTGAGGCTGCCCCTGCACACGTGAGCCCAAAATCCCACACAGGTGTCCCATGGAGCCCCTTCAAAACGGGCTCGCCGCCCTTCTGTGCTCTGACCCCAGAACCACATCCCGAACACCCACACCCTGCACCCTCCCGATTCAGCACCACACGTCAGGAAAAGGGACAGACATGAGACCGTGAGTCCCAGCTCAGCCAGTGATGGCTGAGATACCTGAAATGGGGGTGGGGTCCCCAGGGGGTGAGAAGACAAGAGGGGCCCCTTGATTCAGAGAGATTTCAGCCAGCGTGGGAAGGTTATTTAGCCTTCTCAGGGGTCCTGTCGTCAAGTCAAAAAAATCTCTGCTGGGAGGTGGGCAGTGAGGTGTCACCTCCACCCCAACCAGGTGTGTCCCCCTGGGGTGACGGGGAAGGCCCAGCCGTCCATGGGGAGGGTGCGGAGTGACAGCTCAGACCTGCGGGTGGCTTGGGCTTCATCCGCCACAAAGGGTTTTGGGGAGCCAACATCGCCAACAAACCCCACAGGTGATTGAACCAAAGTGGCCTCAAGTAACAGCAAGTCTGTCTGAACAAATGTGGGCAACCCCGGGGAAGGGGAACCTCCATCGGACTCCCAGAAGCAGCCTTTAACCCCGGAGACTCAGAGCCGAGTGCGGGTGGGCTCAGGAGGACCCAACCCCTAGCACTGGTGGGTGCGTTAAAAAAGGGATCTGTACGTACTTGGTTCTTCCTAAGATTTGACGAGTGGCCCCATGGAATGACATCTTTGTCACATACAGCCCTTGACAACGTGTAAACGAGCCAGTGAGATGTGTGGTTCTGATGTCTGCTTCCAGAACGTGGACGATGGGAGCCTCGAGGTCGGCAGTGAGGTGCACGGTGCCTACGAGTCTCCTGGCCCCTCGGAGTCACTTCATGCTCAGAGGTTCCAGGGCAAGGCCGTTCCACTGACCAATGCTGCCTTGTTGGAGTGACACGTCACAGAGGCACAGAGATGACCCTGTGCGCAGTGGAGCCAGTGTTACTCAGGGCCTCAGAAGCAACCGCTCGGCTCCGTGGCTAAGGGACTTACCTCCCTAAAGGCACAGAGCATGCAGGAGACTTTTAGGCTGAACTTCAAAAGCTCAAGGAAGAATCAGAGTTTGGAATTTTCAACAGTAATAAAATTATCCATCATGAAAAGCAAGAAATAAACTGGAATGGTCTTCTGCACCAAATATCAACCACTGAAATCCCTAAGGTACACACGTGCACACACACCCCCCCCCCCCCGGGGCCCCCGTGTGTGCAAGCAGGGGCAGCCACAAGTGTTGACAACACACTGGATGATACAAACATGTACAAAAAAGGCTGGGATTTTATTTCCAAGTTGGCACATGTACAAGGCACAGAGACAAAGGGCTTTGGGGCACTGGAAGCAGAAATGGGCAGAGGTGCATCGGCGGTCCCCACCCTCTAAGCGCACTTGAGGCAGGACCAGTGGCGGGGGCTCCGCCCGGGGCCCTGAGGGTCCCACTGGCTCTGGATAACAGCCTGGGGACAGCTCCCCAGACAGAACCCCCTCCTCCCAGGGGACAGGGCCCTGCCAGCTCCCCCAGCTAGAGGGACCAGCCCCTGGGGACACCGGGGTCAGAGAGAGAAGAGCAGGACGAGGACCAGGAGAAGCACCCCCAGCAGCACCCCAATGGCACACCACTGCCGGCGGTCTGGGGGTGAGAGAGTCAGAAATCTCAGCGAGACAGGGAGCCACTGGAACCCGCTCCCCCCACCCCTGAGGGCCTCCCCCAAGAGACTCACCACTCGTCATGTGGGATACCGTGGCCATCTTCCTGAGAACCCCATCCATCCGGGACTGGGTGTGGTCCATCTCCTGGGTAAAGGCGTCCAGTAGGCTGCCGGGACCAGGATGGCGTCAGCCCCACGCGGTCCGTGCACACCAGCACGGCGGCCGAGGGCTCCCGGCCCACCCGCGGCCCGGTCTCACAAGCCCTGTTCATCCAGCTCCTCCCCGACGCGACCAGACATGTGTTTCAGAACCCGGATGCTCCCAGACACCATTTCCAGCTGTTGATCCTGTTGGTCCACGATGAGCTGCAAACGGCAGGAGCAGGAACTGCTGTCGGCAGAGCCGCGAGCTGCCCGCCGGCTGCTCCAGCCCAGGGCCCCGCCACCCACACAAACCTGCTGCGCGGCCTGCTGCTCCTCGAGGAAGCGAGAGGTGGCTGAGACCATGCTGGCATCCAGCAGGTCACCGGAGGACTTCTGGGTGGCTGGCCTGCCCGTCAGCAGCTGCGGTGGCACAGAGCACAGGCTCAGGGAGCGATGCCCACTCACAGCAGAGCCAGACATGAGTTTGTGGCAAATCTAGACAGTGCTAGTCAGGAAGCTTCCCCAGACCCAGCCCTGACTGGCAAGGTGACCCCAGGGCCATGTTACTTGACCTCCCTGTGTCTCAATTCCCTCATCTGTAAAATGAGAAGCACTGTCATCTCTATTTCCTGGAGCTAGAATGAGAATTTAATGAATTAATTCGTGGAGACCAATTATTATCATATTAACAGGTATATTTACCAATTTGGACTTTAATCCCCAAGGCCACCTGGACGGCACGTGGGCACTGCTACAGGACTCCAAGCTGATGCAGGCCTCAGCCCCCCACCCTCCCAGGCCCCACGTGGGCTTATGTGGGATGGGGAGAGGCTGGTGTCTCCAACATGCGGACAACAGACACACAACACAGAGGGAAAGGTGTACAGAGGTACGCTCAGAGACCCAGTTCACATGTTCATGTGGGTCAGGCGCGCACCCAGAGAAAAAAATCCATGTATGTCCTGGAAACAGTAAGACACAGAAAAGGAAAGAAACAGGTGTACAAGAACCACCCCCTCCCCCCGGAAACCAGTGTAGACCCGCGGGCAAAGGCAGAAGGGATTATATGCACAGAGAGGGGTCAGGCCTGTACTCAAAGGGGAGGGCCCCCCAGACACTCAGTGAGGATGCTGGGTCGGCACACTTTACCTCTCTATTATTCTTCTCCATGAAGGCTATGGCTGCTGGGCTGACCATATGGTCCTTCATTTCCTAGGGGTGAGGACAGCGTCAGACTAAAGACGCCCCAGCCTCCCCACAGGCACTCCATCGGAGCCTCTCCTCACCTGGACCGCCTCCCGCATCCTCTCCACGAACACCTTTCTCTCCTGCAGGTCTCCGGCTGGGAGCTTGAACTTGCCTGGGTTGGCTTCCACGATGCGTAAGCCGCGAGTCAAGAGTCAAGGCTAGGGCCAGACACAACCCCCTCCTCCGCCTGAAAGCCTTCAACACCTCCCAGGTGTCGGGCCTCCCCCAAGGGCTGGCTCCCAGCGCCCCCTGTCCCCGCAGTGGGCTCTCCCATGCCGCCCTCCGACCCCCAGGATATCGATAGTCTCCTCCAGGTCCTCCAGGTCCCACTCGATGCTGCGCAGGCCGTTCCGCAGCTCATTGGTCGTCCAGTCCAGCTCCTCGCGTCCGACTGCCGCGCCCTCCTGCAGGAGCTCGCACCAGCGCTGGTACAGCCCTCGGGCCGTGTTTACCGCCTTCTGCACCTCGCTGCGGGCGGGGGCACAGCGGGCGCGGCTGGGGGCAGGAGGGCCTCCCGCGCGCCGGCGCGCCCCGAACGAGTGGGGCGCTCAGGAGACCCTCACAGCCCCTGCGAAGCCCTCCCACGCGGCCACCCGGCGATCGCGACCCGCGCACCCCGACAGCCGTGCCCAGACCGCCTGGCATGCTCTGGCCGGCACTCGGGCACTGGCTGGCAGGTGGACCGAGCGCCCTCTGCCCTCCCCATCGCTGTCACTCACCCTCGGACGACAAAAAACGGGTCTTCGAGAGACATGTTACACCAGGGCGGAGGCCGAGCCGCCTCCCCGCTCGGCCTTGCTCGCTGATTCTCCCCCAGAGGTGGAGAATGCGCCGCCACCCCCGCCACCGTCACGTGACCCGTTCCACCATCGAGAGCGGGTCCGCCAGGCGAGAAAGAGAGGCCTAGGAGGCCCCAAGAGCGAACACTTCCGCCTCTTGGCGGCCATCTTGGTTGTGGGCAGCGAAGGCTTCGTCCCGCCCCTTCGGTCCGCCTACTCCGGCAACGTCTTAGTTTTCTGTCCAGCCGGCTTCGGGTGGGAGCTCGGAGTCCCTCGGTTCGAGACCCTGTCCCTCGGATAGTTGCTGCGCAACCTCAGTTTCCTTGCTGGGCAATGTAAATAATAACAGCGTCCTTCAAATCAGGCGAGATATGGCTGGGGAAGGGGCTCATTCGATTCGTAGACCCTCCTAACGGACTGCTGAGCCCGCGCCGGGATCCTGTCCTGGCAGATCGTCCCCGCTCAGGGCCGGGAGCGGCACAGGGGCGGAGAGGGGGGCGGAGGGTCACCTTCCTCGTGGTGGGGGGAGGCGCGGGCGTACTCCGGGGCGGGGTTCTGCCGCACTCTCCCCTCCTCCTTATTTTCCTTGCGGAGGAGGGGCGCCTCGAGGTCGTCCCGGGGCGGGGTGCGGTGAGTGGGGCCCCGGAGCTGCTTCTGGGGGTGGGGTCCTTCTGGGTGCATGAGGGGCTGTGGGGGTGGCTCTGAGGATGGATGGTCTGCAGGGAAGCCCTCCGCGTGTGGGGTCTCCGTCTGGGGAGGGACTCCTAAGGTCGCCTCCTGTGTGACGGAGGAGTCCTGTGTGGGGTCTCCGGGAAAGCAGTCTTTTGCGGGGGCAGCCAGCGCCTGAGCGGGGGCCTGATCTCCCGATGCAGGGCGGGCGGGGTGTCTGGAGCAGCCCTTGAGGGCCGCCCCTGCGCGTGTCCGAGTCCCTGTGTGGGGTCTCAGAGCTGGCGCCTGGGTTGGCGATGCCATGGTGCAGGCTCGTGGGGTCGGGGATGGGGGCGTTCTCAGCGGGTCGCCGTGGCGTGTGGCGGGATCCCTCACTGGGGAGTTTTTGGAGGGATCTTTCAGAAGAGAGAATAATGGTCGAGTTCCCACGTGCCTGGTTGGGGGGCGGGACCTGAGCGGGCGCCAGGGGTGCCTGAGAGCATCGATTTGGGGGAAAGAGCAGGAATACATGGGAGGGACCTCGTAGGGGGGAAGTAACGGTGGGATCTGCTTGGGGGAACAGAGATGAAGGGGTCCGCAGTGCGTTGCCCCTTGTGTTGGGTCTCGGGGAGATGGCGTCGGTGGGAGCCCTGAGGTCGCCCCTCCCCGGCGGCGGCGGCTTTCCCGGAGGGGCGTCAGGCATTCCTGGCCTCCGGAGGGAAGGAAGCGAAACCTCCCTCTCCCCGCCGGCCCGCGTGGACGCTGGCCCCGAGGCCGCGGGCTCCTGCCGGGGCCCCCTCCCGCCCGGAAGAAGCCGGCCGCTGCGGGCACGGAGAGCCCCGCCCCTGTCCTTATATGGGCAGCCGGAAGCGGCTCGCGCGCCGGCCCTGCGTCATTGCTTCCGAATTTAGTTCTGGAAGTCTCGCGAATGCTGTGGCGGGAAGGTTCCGCGCGAGAGTCAGCGGGGCGGAGCCTCCCCTTAAAGGGCCCGCGCCACGAATGCTATCCGAACAAGTTTGCATCTTCTTTTTTTTTGGAGGAACTGGAAACAGGTTTTTTTGGAGCATTAGCGCGTAGCGGAGGGCGGGGCCGATGTTTTCAATTTGTCTCTGCGTTGTTCAAGTTTCCAGCTCCTACCCTAGGCATGCCTCCCGGGGCGCAAAGGCGGGGCACGGCAGCGTCGGCTGGTGGTGGCAACCACGTGTGCCCGCGGACGGGCGTGCGGCCGGCCGGTTCCTCCGCCTTGCGAGCGCCAAACCCACCCGTGGAGCTCGGGCCGAGGCAAACGGGGGCGATGCGCAGTGCTGAGCGCAGAAACGGCAGCCCGGGCGGCGCTCGTGTTTGCAGACGTCCGCCGCCCGTGGAGTGGGCAGCTTTGCTCTGGAGCCAGCGGCGCTGCCTGCCTCCTTACTGCCTACAGACGAGGGGAGTGAGCAGGGCTGGCGTGCGCCGGAGAGACGGCAGAGCTGGAGGCCCCCGTGGTCCCCTTTCACCGCAGTGGCGCATTGATGCGTTTAGCAAATAGTGAACGAGTCACTCCACCTCGGTTTCCCCACTTGGAGAAATGAGGTCTAACGGTGCTCTCCGCGGAGTGGAGCTGAGGGGTCAATGAGGTATTTGCGAAAGGAAAGCCCTTAAAAGCACCTGGCACGTAATAAACGCTGAATAAGCGTTAGAATCGTTATTGATTCAAACATCATCAGGCGCCTGCAGGATGCTAGGAACTGCCCACGGGGGACGTACCGACTCCTACCCGGGTCTTCCCGGGTGCCCAGGGAAACTTGCCGCCTATGACCCGCTGGGGCCGCCAGAGGCAAGCACGTGGGTGGGCCCTGGTGCCCACCCGCGGCCCCCTCTCCGGAGCCTGCGCGCGGGCGCATTGGGGGGCTCCGAGAAAGGAGACACCCCCTCCTCCCCGATGGCTCAGCGTGGACTGGGGCACGCTCCCCCTCGCCCGGGTTCCCGTCCCTTTGCTCCGCTCGGTAAATTCCACCCTGTCGCTTTAAGGAGGCTGGAGCCTCGGCGCGCTGGAAAGCCCGGATGCGGCTCTCTGATTGGGCGGGGCGGCTCCGGGACTTCCCTCTGGGTATAAAAGGGCCCGGGTGGCGGAGGCCGGGGCAGAGCGTCGGAGCGGAGTCCCGGCGGGGGGGTGGGCGCGAGCGAGAGCGGAGTCCCAAGTCCCGAGTGCACCTGCTCCCTGTCCCGCGCAGCCCGCGAGGCCCCGCCGTCGAGCCGCCATGGAGGTGCAGAAGGAGGCGCAGCGCATCATGACCCTGTCGGTGTGGAAGATGTACCACTCGCGCATGCAGCGCGGCGGCCTGCGGCTACACCGGAGTCTGCAGCTGTCGCTGGTCATGCGCAGCGCCCGGGAGCTCTACCTCTCGGCCAAGGTGGACGCCCACGAGTCCGAGCCGCCCCTGCCGCCCGCCCCCTCCCCTGACCCTCACCTGCACCCGCCGCGGGAAGCGCACGCCGCGGCCGAGGCAGCGGCCCCCGACGGCGAGCAGCCCTTCCCGGAGCCCATGGACACGCAGGAGGCGCCGAGAGCCGAGGAGACCCCCGCCCGCTGTGCCCCGCGCCCCGCCAAAGTCAGCCGCAAGCGGCGGAGCAGCAGCCTGAGCGACAGCGGGGACGCTGGACTGGTCCCGAGCAAGAAAGCCCGTCTAGAGGAGGCGGCGGCGGAGGAAGGGTTCTCCTCGGAGCTCCGCGATCGCCTGCAGCCGCCTCCGGCACAAGCCGAGGGCGCCTTCCCCAACCTGGCGCGCGTCCTGCAGCGGCGCTTCTCCGGTCTCCTGAACTGCACCCCCGCCGCGCCCCCGACGGCGCCCCCGGCGTGCGAGGCGAAGCCGGCCTGCCGCCCGGCGGACAGCATGCTGAACGTGCTGGTGCGGGCCGTGGTGGCCTTCTGAAGGCCCCCGAGCGGCGCGATCGGAGCCCAGAGCGCGGCCGTGCCGTCGGCCTGAGTGCGTGGCCCCGAGGCGAGGCCCGCCCCCGGGAGGGCGCCCGCGGAAACCGTGGAGAGGAGCCGCCGCCGGGGCTGCCGAGAGGCCCGGAGAGGGACTCTGTCCCCGGGGAGCCGTCGCCAAGCGCGTGCGGCGTTGGCGCCGAGGAGCCTGAGCCGGGGCGCGGGCGCCTTCCGCCGAGACCCGGCGCGCCGGCAGGTGTTGTCCGAACGCACCGGGACGTGGACCTCGGCCTCTCCTGGGACTGGGAGAAGGGAAGCCTGGTGTTTCAACTGCCCAGGGTCGGACTTGAGTTTTTCACTGGGGGCCGTGCTGCCCCTTCCACGTTTTTCGGTAGTTGGTGTTGGCGTCTCCGATCTCCGAGAATTCCTGGCCCGCCCCTCCCCCTCCAGTGACATACTTGTGCAAGCGGTCACGGTTGCGTCATGGGGCGGACGTGGGCGCTTCCTGTGGCCTTGCGGGGGTGTGGGGCCTGGGAGGAGGGTCTGGGGTGTGGCCCGCCCTGGGGGATGGGAGGCGGGCGGCCTGAGTCATGCCGCTCCCGCCTGCTGCTGGTTCGGCCCCGCGCCCCTGCGCCTGCGGCGGTGGTGGGGGCTGCTGTAATTGCAGGCCAAACTTTTTCTCTTCGGTTGCGTTAGACGTGGGAAGACGGTCACAGTCTCCAGCGTGACCGTCCCTCGGACACACCGACACGATCAACCTAGACGTTCCTGGTCTGAATCACAAATGGAGAGGGGTGGGTGTTAGGGCGCTGTCAGGCCGGACCGGGCCCGGTCTCTTGTGAGCCCGGGCCAGTTTGGGGACGGGAGAGCCTTGTCAGCGCGTCTGAGGGTCTGTTTACCCGTTTACTCTGGTGGATTCTAACTCCATCTATCTGGTCTTTTGCTAGGAACGCCAGATAGACAAATAAAGACCATTTGAATCAAAAGCTTGTGCTGCCCGTCTTGTTTTCCTCTCTGGCGGGGGAGGGGCGGGGTGAAGGGGTCAGGAGGTGGCGGCGGCTTGCTGGGGCCCCAGAAACCGGTCTGACCGGCTACCACGTGGGCAGGGGGGGCTGGGCCCCCTTTTCTTTGCCACAGCACTTCCGTGCGAGGCTCCCGGGCGCTCTGAGTCTTTTGAGCTCTCACATTTGGGGGTTCCTTAGGAATTCCCCTAGAACTGGGGGTGGGGAGAGGGCTTTCCGAGTTCGGCTGTTTGGGGGGGATACTGGTGGGTACAGTACCCCAAGCAGAGTTGGGGGACCGCTCCTCCGAAGACCCACTGAATCCGCTCTGGCGGGGGTCTCACGGCCCGAGGGGGGAGCTGAGCAGCTGCACTCTGGAGCGCCCCTTAGGCCCTGGTTCCAGGCTCTGGCGGCATAATCGTGTGGCTCAGGAGGGGAGGTGCGCTCCCAGCCTCAGTTTCCTCTTTGGTGAAGTGAGCCTCCGCGAGGCGGCTGGAGGTTTAGAGATGCCCGTGGGAGCCCCAGTGATTTGCTCTGGCCCCACCCCAGCTCCAGGTTAGCCATCCCAGAGGAAAAACTCCCCCGAATTTACCCGACGCTGGTTTAGGAGAAGGGCTGCAGGCGTCGCCCCGGGGCGTTGGCGAGTGGCTGTCGGGAGGACAAAGAAGCCGCAGGTGCGGGGAGCGGGGGCGGCGGGAGGCGCCGGGAAAGCGCGCGCCCCGCCTCCCGACGGCTGGCTCCGCGCCGCGGGCCTCCTGAGACCCCGGGGGCCTGACCCCAAGGCGGGAGAGGAGGAGGAGGAGGCTGCGGTGGAGGGCGGGCCGCCCCCGCCCCCGCCCCCGCCCCCGCCCGACGCCCCGCTCCCGCCTCCTCCACCCTCCCCGCCTCCCTCAGGGTTCCCCAGGGAATCCGGCCCAGCTCGCCTCCGTCGCCGCCTGATTCCTTCCCGGGGAACGTGGGAGACTTTAGCGCCACCCACTCGGGGTGCTGACCCGCAACTCCCCAGTGGGACGTGGGGACACTCTCAGCGGTGGCTCAAGGCGTCCGCGTGCGAGCAACTCCCCCGCGAACCTGCCCGGCCCGGGAAGTCCCCGGCGGCTGGGGAGGGGGCCTCACCGCGCATCCTGTCGCCGGAACCGCCGGGCCCTTCCTTCCGCGGGAAGCGGCTTGGCCGACCCCCGCCCCCGCCCGGCTGCCTGGGGGTTTCCTGGGCCGGGCCACGGGGCTAGGGGCTGGGGATGATGCGTGGGAGACAGGACAAGCACCCACACACACACACTCATCCTATTAAGATACACCCCTCCACCAGCCCCATGTCACCCATCGGAAGAGGCACAATCGAAAATTGTCAGGACCACATTGATGAAGCCTGGCGTTTTCACATCATCACGTGGCACTGAGCCTTGGCACAGGCCCTCTGCGGAGAGATGGATCGGACAATAGATGTGAACAATGTCACATATCCCGTGACCAGTGGATTCCCCAGGAACCTCGGGCCTGCAGTGCCGTCCAAAATGGGCACAAATTAGGAACATCCTACGTGCCCATCCAGCCGGCCTGGCCTGCCGAATGCTGACTCTGCAGCTGCTGCCCAGGGGAGGAAAGGCCTGCGCCAGACACATGTGCATGCTTGGGACATGGAGGTAACTCAGAACCCGGATGCTGAGTGACACGAAGGCCAGCTGCGGACACCGTGGGCTGAGGAGCCCAGCTTCAGAGCCAGCCAGCCAGCTTGACTTGTTTGCTGTGCAGCTTGGAGCAAATCACTTCACCTCTTTGGGCCTCAGTTTCTCTGGCTGTAAACTGTGGGCAGTCATATCCCTGCCTCTTAGGTGCGTTGTGAAGATGCAGCAAAATAATACCTGTGAAGTGCTTAGTGGAGCGCCTGGCACACAGAAAGTCACTTTGCATTATTGTTAGAGGCTGGAGTGACAACAGTGCTGGTCATTTGGAATCACACACAGCGACATGAATATGTATGTATGGGAAAGTGTGTGCTGGAAAAATAGTTGCCCCCTCCAGCGGCTCAGTGTGAACAGGGGGTGCCTTCCCTCCCAGCTCTGGAGTTCAGTCAAATCCTAATTGATCTGAGTTGACAGAATTGATCGTTCCCTCCTCCAGGTCCCCCCACCCCCACCCCCAGGTTTCCTCCTGCCTCAGGCCCTGGGCCTCTGCTGTCTACACTCCCCCTCGGCAGCCTCGCTCAGTCTGAGGCCTCTGAATGCTGCCAGGATGCTGGGTCTCTATCCTGGACCTCCCCCCACCTCCAGACCTCTGCCTGAGCCCCTCCCCGCATCTCCCCGTGGGCGGCTAAGGTGTGTCACACATGCAGGACCCAAAAAGGATTCTTGCCATTTCCTGCCAGCTCTTCCAGTTGAGGGATCCTCCTTGACTCCCTTTGTCTCCTACCCTCACCCTGTCCAGTCACGGGTGCTATCAACTTGACCTCTCATCGCACTGCGAGCTTTCCCCACACTCATGGCTCCCACCTGGTGTGAGCTGCCATCTCACCTGGATTAGGGCAGCGGCTTCCTCCTGGCCCTTGCCCCGACAATCTGCTCTCCACAGCAGCTGCTCACCGATTTTATGAAATGCAAACTGGATCGTTTCACCCTGCCAGCTCCCCACTGCTTCACCCACACTGGCCTACTTTATGCTTGAAGAACGGGCCAAGGGTGTTCCAGCCCCAGGGCCTTTGCACTTGCTGTCCTTCTGCCCACAACGCTCTTTTCCCAGACACCCACAAGTTCATCCTCACTTCTTCAGGTTTCTGCTTAAATATCACCTCCTTAAGAGGCCTTGTTGGGCCACCTGATCTAAAATAGCACCCCCTCTGCCGCTCTGCTCCTTGACCCTGCTCAGCCTTCCTTAGAGCACTGCTCACCGGCTGAAAGGGTATGTTTACATTCTGTTTAGCATCTGTGTCCTCATTCGAATGTCAGTTTCACAAAAGCCCAGCCCAGGCCTGAATGAGTAAATGAGGTTGTCTGGGGTAAGCAGGTGTTAAATGCTTAATATTTTATTAGCTTATTTAATCAATGGCTTCCTATGGCTCTTAGAATAGAACTTCCCAAACCTCAGACAATTAACTGTCAAGATTTTCCTCATCTCTGTGTAACAACTGTACTATTATTTATCTAATTTTTTTAACTTAACCCCCTTGTTAATCACTCACCATACTTAGAAAGTAACAGTTCATAAAGGTTACAATGAAAATGAAACAATGTCATAAGATCCTGCTGAAACAGTAGCCAGTGTGAGGTTCCAGGCTTAGACTTAGTCACAAAGGAAGGTTAGCAAGTTCAGGACACCTGGTTACTACAGGCAGGAGACTGGCCTCAGTCAGAAGTCTAGCTGAGGACTGAAAGCTGAAAAGGGAGAGATTCCCAGGGATTCATTCCCTGTTATTGGAAGAACATTGAATCGCTTTGCCCACTGTCCTGGAGTGAGGAAATTTCCGCTTCTGGAGGAGTGATGAAACTGTGAAAGGCCCAACTCAGTCTGGGCCCAGCCCATCGTCTCTGGCCTAATCTTGCATTACTCTCAGCTGCAGGGACCTGCTGTTTGTTCCTCAAGCTTCCGCAATCTTCCCAGCCACAGGGCTTTTGCATATGCTGATCCTCCTAAAATTTTTCACTATTCGTCTAGTTAGGTCAGTTCAGAACAAGGGCACAAGTCATCAGGGAAGCGTTCCCGTCTGCCTCCCATTTTGGTCTAAGACCCCTATATTTATTGACATGCAGATAAAGAGCTATTTTTTTTTTTTTTTTTTTTTTTGCAGTATTTATCGCAGCTGCAGTTTTACATTTGTTTCTGGATTTGTCCTCTGCCAGCCTGCGGCCCCCATGAGGACAGAGAGGAGTCTAGCAGGTGCTTACTAAGCAGTTTTTGTGAATGAACGACGCATTTTGAGGTCGATCCTTTTTAATGTTTGCTTTTTACAGACCGGGAAACTGAGGCCCAGGGAGGATCGCCCTGCAGGAGAGCAAGTAGAGGACGGCCCTGGTCGTGTCTCCTCTCCCGAGATCCCTGCCCTCGCTGTGCAGGACCCCAGGGACAGGCGCCCCAGTTCAGCCTCCGCGGAGCTGGGAAGGGGCCAGGCCACAGGTCAGGACCAGCCCAGAAGCAGCGCCCAGACCGGCTTCCCCGCTCCCAGGAGCCTGGGCGAGGCCGGCGGCCGGAGGGGGACGGCGCAGGCCCGGCTGGGCGGGCCCCGATCTCCGCCGGGAAACTGACGTCCGAGGCGGGACGCTCGGGTGGGTCGCTGGCCAGGGCGCGGGGTGGAGCGGTCTGGGTGTCAATCACAGGCGGGGCGGGGCATGCAAATCGAGCCCCGCCTCCCGCCTTCCGGCCCGGCCTGCGCGCTGCCCTGGCCGCTTCCCAGAACCCGGGTGCCTGGACCCCTCGCCCCGCGCCTGCCCTTCCGCATCCTGAGACCCTCGGGGCCGCGCGGGAATCAGGTCAACGGCGCAAGAAGCAGGAGGGAGATGGAGCTTGCCCGAGTCTCCGGCTCGCGCTCTCCACCCTTGGCGTGGAGGCTGCTGAAGCCCCCACTCGTGTCCAGGGAGCCCTGCACCCTCACAGCAGTGTCCGGTCCAGAGAGCTGAGCCCAGGGGCTGAGGCCCTCGACCTTCATCTCCAGACCTGAGGCCTCCCAAGGCCAGCTCCCTGCCTGCCCCTTTCGTTGCAGCCCCTCTCAGCAGAAGTGCCCCTGGGTCCACCATCCCGCTGTCCCCCTCTGCCCCTTTTATTTCTTGCTGCCTTCCAGTGTCCTGGCCCAGTGGGCCCCAGATCCACCTCCTCCCCCAGCACGTTGTTTATACTCAGTTAAGAAGTAATCTCAGTGTTCACTGTCCCGCCACCCTCCCTCCAGCACCTATGTGCCTGGCGGGGACCCCTGAGGTCCTGTCTTTCCTGCCCGCCACGCCACCCCGACTGGTACCAGTTAATTTCCCCCTCAGCCTGTCCACCCACATCTGGTTGCCAGCTGCGAGCCCCCGCCCTGCCCGCCCCCAGAGGCTCCCAGGGAATTGCTCACAGCTCTTCTCTTCCTCCCCCGCCCCATCCAGGCCGCCCGGCCAGAGCACAGGAGCCAGAGTCTGCTAATCAGAAAAAGCTGACAGTTAGGGCCTGGAGCGGGGCAGATCTGAGATCAGATCAGACGAGGAGGGGTGGAGTGTGAAACTTTCTGACCCAGAGATGCTGGGGGGGTGGTGGAGGGCCGGGTACTGGGAGGCAGGGGCTTACGTTGTACCTAGAGGCTCGAGATCAAAGCTTTCTGGCTTCCAGATGGGGACTGTGGGGGAGGGCTGCCCCCCGCAGGGCGCGCAAGTCTGAACCCCCCCCCCCTTGGAAACCCCCGAGAGGCAGTGGTGACAGCTGTGCCCCGGCCCACACCCAGCGGGCTTCCTCCTCCTGCACTCGCCCTCCTGACCGGCTGGCCTGCTGCCTGGAGCTGTCGGTCAGCCCTTTTGAAGGGGCTCCCCGGAGGGTCTTCCTGGACAAGGGGAGGGGACCAGCTGGAGAACAATGGGCTTCTGTGGCTGGAGGACGCCCGGCGCTTCCTGTTAACCCTTGCCTCCGGGTGCAGCTGCGGGGCAGCTCCGAGGCCCAGGCTGGGGGGAGGGGGAGGCGCGAGGGCGTTGACGAGCAGGCAAACGTGCAGCCCTTTTTCTCTGCTTCCAGCTCTTGTCTTGCAAAGGTGACCGGGAAAGGGGAGGCGAATGCAGACCTTGCCCTCCTGTGTGGAGTCACAGGGTCTGTTTCTTTTCCCCTGTGAGGCTAAGGCTTGTGAAGCCAGGGGACGGGGCGTGGCCAGCCGGGGAGAAGCCTCTGCAGTGGGCGCTGAGGGTTCCCTGGATCTCTGGGGGGGGGGGGGGGGGCGGCGACAGGCAGGGGACCCAGGCGTCCTAGGCAAGTCCTAGGTACAGCTAAGTTTGCCGGTCACTGTCCCAGCTGCCCTGATGGGTTACCTGAGGTGACCTCCTGAGCCAGTTCCCTTGGCGGTCTGTGCCTCAGTTTCCTCCAGTTTGGGAAGTTCTCCCAAGGGCCTGACAGGAGCTCAGGGTGGTCCTCTGGACCGGGGCGGCGGGGGGGGGGAGCTGAGCTGTGGGTCTTGAAAACACCTTGCTCTTTCTTGGAGCCCTGGGTGGACAGGCCGGGCAGTTAGCCCCGTGTTGACTGAGGGTTCATGTAATGTGCCTTCTGTTTGCAGAACCAGCCTGAGAAGTGATGGGGTTCAGGGCAGGCCACCCCGAGATGCAAGATGCGCCACTCTGGTATGCAGCCTGTTCTGAGCTGAAGACAATAAAGGCTTGCCTTTCCCCACTAACTGCCTAAAAGAAATTTAAAATAAAGGCCTGTGCCCAGGACAGGCCATCACCGCAGATAACTCTGGGTTCCGGTAGACTGGGAGCACCCTCGCTGAGCCCACTCTTAGCAAAGTTCTATTTACCAAACATTTGCTTTTCCATTTCCACGTGCGTTGCCTTCCTCCCTTTCAAAGACCCAAACCACTGCCCCAGCGTCCCCCTTGTCTGCAGCTGGAGATGCTTAAACAGGCAGCCTCGGCCAGTTGGCTGAGTTGCTCAGGTTGCCTGAGCCTCTCCCGTGAATACGTGTTATCAAGTTTTGTTTCATTTTCTCCTGTTATTCTGTCTCATGTGAATTTACTTTGTTGCCGTTGGCCAGCAGAAGGACCCAGAGGCGGTAGAGGAAACGTCTTCCTCCCCTACAGAAGCGCCCTCTTCAGAAGCCGCCACCGCGGAGAGCCTCTGAGGCCCCGGGAGACTCAGCATCCGGCCCCGGGGGCTTCCGGTTAGCTATAGACCAAACAACACTCCTCCATATGAGAAGTGACGACAGGGGCCAGCCTGGTGGCATGGTGGTGAAGTTCACACGGTGTGCTTTGGTGGCCTGGGGTTCTCGGATCCTGGGCATGGACCTAGGGCCACTCATCAGCCACGCTGTGGTGGTGTCCCACGTACAAAATAGAGGAGGATCGGCACAGATGTTAGCTCAGGGCCAATCTTCTTTGCCAAAAAGAAAAAATAAAAAAGAAGTGATGACATTTATTGATGCTTCCTGTGAGAAGGTCCCGTGCTCGGCTCCTCACACGTCCAGTCATGTGCCACATAGCAACTTTTTCAGTCACCGGTGGATGGTGGTCCCACAAGATGAGCACCGTCCCACCTAGATGTGTGTACATGCCCTCTGTGACGTTCGCACAACGATGAAGTCACCTAACGATGCATTTCTCAGAACGTGCCCCCACCATTAAGCGACACATGACTGTATTCACTTAGTCAACCCTCACGGCAGCCTGGGTCAGAATTAAAGTGGCACTTTCACCGGCTTCGTTTTACAGATGGGGAAACTGAGGCACAGAGCCATCTGTGCCCAGTAAAATGAAGTCCATTGTTTTTCTTCCTCTCCTGGGTTTGGGGGCAGGGTTGGGTAGGGCCCTTCGGGTGGGCGGGTGGACTTTTTCTGTGTGTGTCTGTGTGTATGTACCCTGTTCGTCTCCTGTTCACAGACAAGCAGAGCTCAGGGTGGTGACAGCCACACCCAGGCCTTCCTGCCACCAGTAGACGGCCTTTTTTCCTTCCTCTCCTCGAATCCGAGGCTGACCGTCCCCCATGGTCCCTCTCCAGCTTTTTCACACCCACTTACTGAGTGACTCTGTACCATCTTTTCTCCTCCCTCAGGGTGAATACACCTCCAGGGCCAATTCGTGCCCACAGGCTTGAGGAGGACAAAGCTGGTTTGGGTGTGGCCTTTTTTTGGTGATCACTATTTACTGAGCAAAATCAAACCGATAGACTGGAAAGCCTGCTGCCAGCCCTCGCTGGCTGGCGTCTGGGACAGAAACGCTCGTGCCTTCGCCCTTTAGACTTGAGGGCGGGCTGGCTGGCGGGCGCCGGGGAGGGCCCTGTCCCACAGGGGCGGGTTAGAGGCCAGAGGGGCCTGGGCCTCAGGCCAGCCCCCTGCCGGTCAGCCTCCACCTGAGCCCCTGCCCGGCCCTCCGCCTTGCCCTGCCCTTCCGGCACGAACCTAGTCCTGGCTGCTCCGGGCCCTCCTGTGTCTCCTGGTGTGGTGGCCGTCCTCGTTTCCACCGCCTCCTTCCTTTCTCCCCGGTCCTGTCCATCTTTCTCAGGACTCTCTGGACATCTATGGGAGGGGGACACACGAGGCCCCTGACCTCCCAGCAGTTCCCTGGAGACAAGGCAAGCCTTGTCCCTGGATGCTGGAGCCAGGATTGGCCCCAGGGCCACGTGGCCCAGCCCGAACCTGAGTTTCTTGTCAGACTGGGCTGGCAGCCTTTATCTCAATGCTCTGAGCTGGGTCTGGGCGCAGCGGGTTCCCCACAGCCACACACAAGCACACACACAGACACACACAAGACACACACACACAGACACACAAGACACACACACACACACACACACACACACACACACACACACGGCTCCCGGGAATTCTCTGCCCCACTCTCCAAAGGGCTGAGCTTCCTTCTCATTGTCCTGAGTTACCCTGTGTACCTGTCCCCTGCTCCCGGTGGCCTCCCCTTTTTGGAGCTGGCCTGTACCTTCTAGAAAGCTCAGAAAGGATCCCCAGCTCCAACAGACACTCTGCGGACCTCCTGCCAGCAGCCGTCCGGGTGGCCAGGCCACAGGTGCCCTCTGCAGCGGGGACCATCCCCACCCACTCCAGTCGTCCCCCTCCAGCGCGTGTTGCACCTGAGCCCATCCCATCCTGTCACCGTGACATCCTCGGAATCAGAACCCAGAAGACTTGATGCCCCCGAATGCCCCTTCCAGGATTGGACGCTGCTGGGCCCTCCGAGGCTGTGTCAGGAGCTGGTCTGTTTCCCCCGGTGACCCCGAGACAGGCAGCCACAGCCTTCGTCCAGGCTTGGCTGAGAAGTGTCAGATTCAAATTCAGATCTGTGGGGCCTGGAGCCTGAAGTCTAAGAATGACAACAGTCATCACAGCCATGCCTATTGGTTTCAGCACCTCACTCATATGGACTCTCGGAATCCTCGAGACAGAAGCGCACTACAGTGTCAGCGCCCTCATGCACCTGGAGGGAGCGGAGGCACAGCGAGGTCAGACGCCTGCCGCTCTGTGTCGTCTTCACAGCTCAAAGGGCCAGAGCCTGGCCTTGAACCCAGGCACACGCCCGGGTCTCCCCCGCAGACATTTGGGCCAGATGCTTCTGTGTGGGCGCTGCCTCCACCACTCGGTACCAGCAGGGCCTTCTCCCGCAGCGGTGGCAGCCACGACTGTCCACAGATGTGACTGGATGTTGGGGGTGGAGTGGGGCGGGGTGGGGGACAGGCTTGCCACCTGCCTTTGACTGTCCTGCCTTGCCACCCACGTGCCCACCTGCAAAGTAACACCGCATGTGTGTGTCTGTGTGTGTGCCGCCGAGTCCTGGGGGTGACGGTGATTGGCAGGTGCTGGCATCTTGGGGAGGCTGGGGCCAGCGGGGCCAGCAGTCTGGGCCGTGTCCCCCCTGCCTGAGAGAGGGGTGGTGGCTTCCCAGGCCCCGTGGGTGAGACAGGCAGCCTCTTCCTTCCTGTTCCCAGAGCTGGGCGGTGACCACAGCAGCCGGAGGCCGGGCAGCCCCACCTGCCTCGGAGTAACTGGGCTGAGGCGGGCGTGTGCTCTGAGCCCCAGGGCCCTGTGGGTGTGGAGGAGAAACCAGAGGCTTATGTAGGTCTCTAGCCCCCTGCCCACTCACAGCCCAGCCCGCCCGGGCTCTGGGCCAGCAGCTGCCAGATGGGTGACTCACGGAGGTGTCGAGCCAGGGAGAGGAGCAGGCTGCGGGGCGGTGGGGGGCTTGTTCAGGGTGGTGGTGGGCTCGTTCTTGGCCTTCTTAGCGTCCCCATCATGACCAGGACCCTGGAGGCCCGTCTGACACGGGCACACCAGCTGTCTCCCTCCTCCTCTCACCTTCCTCACCCTTCTCTCATGGGATTTTTTCCCCTGAACGGCGCTTGGGCAGGAAGGCGGAAGTGAGCATGGGCGTGGAATGTCTCAGAGTCCAGGACCAGAGTGCGAGTGTGGTTGGGAGCACCTAGTGCTGGCCCTGTGGCCTTGAAGATTGAGGCCAGGCCCTGAGCCAAGGTTCCTGCCTTCTCCCTTTTAAAAACAGGGTTTGCCCAGGGGTCCTGGGAGCTGGAGACAGAGTGGGGAAAACGGGGGCAGGCGCGCCCTGCACAGCGCCGGGCGCATTTACAGTCTTCACGACTAGGATCATTTATGTGTGAAAACCCGACGCCCAGAGAGGTTAAGTGACTTTACTGAGGTGGCTCAGGAAGGAAGCAAAAGTGCCAGGGTTCGCTTGCTGGCCCAGCTGGCTGCCAAGCCGGCCTGCGGTGGCCGTGATCACACCCGCTGTCGGTCGTCGGCGCAGCACCCTGCAGGCCCAGTGCGTGTCGAGGTGACGGCCGGATGACTCACAGCCAAACCACAGCCTTGGCCACATGTGCTGGTCCTCTGCACAGCCCTCGGGTTCAGAAGGAGTTTTACATTTTTAGACGGTTGAAAACAAAAGAAGAGCATTCTGTGAAATGTAAACATCCTTGAAATCACAGTTTCGGCCTTTGCACGTGAAGCGCGCACGGTCACGCTGGTCCACCAGCGCCCACCGCAGCGCGGGCTTGTCGCCACGACCTGCGAGGCCACACGTGGGCCAGAGCTGGCTCTTCCAGATGTTCGCTGATCTCTGGGCTGGACAGAGGGGTTCCCCATCTTTGGGGGGCTGTTGGCAGAGCAGGGTGGTGCCAGTGTGTGTGGCTTCTGACTGTGGCCGCGATGGAGCAACATGGTCTTGCGGCCCAGAGGCGGGGCTGGAGTGGGCGCCTGTGTGTTTCCTCCCCATCCTTGAGGGGGAGCTCGTCCGCGGGCACCTCCGGACCATCTGCTTCCTCCAGCGTCCGCAGTGTGGACGGGGCAGGTGGGCGGCCAGGCAGGAGGCGGCCCTGCAGGACTCGGGGCACGTGGGTCTCGGCACACCCTCCTGAGTGGACGCTGCCTCCGCCTCAGGCTGGCCTGGCCGACTGGGCAGTTGTCTTGGGGGAACCCCTGCACCCTGTGCCTTCTGTCCCCTAGTGTGAGACTGTAAGGTTGTGACCTTTCCAGAAAAGCACTTGGGTCCCTGAGTTGGGGAAGCAGACCCTCTATCCCCTGTCAGCTTTGCTGGGCTCAGCTGGGTCTGCGCTCCCTGCCCCCCAAACCCACTGATGCATTTAAGGCCCTTGCCTGAGCCACCAGCTCCTTCCCCAACACAAACGGCAGCATGCTGAGGAAAGTGTCGTCTAAACACTGATGCATCATCGATGCGCTGGTTTCCTGATTCGTTCCACACACAGTTACTGAGCTCCATGCAGACCGGCAGAGAATAGGTGCAGAGCCAGCCTGCGCTGGGATGTCCTTGCTATATTAAGTAAAAAAAGTGAGCCACCATACCCCAAAGAATGGACAGCAGGCCCTCAGACACCTTCTTTCACAGGAGTGTTCATAGGAGCACTTTTCCCGACGGCCCAAAGGTTGAAGCAGCCCACGGGTCCATCAACAATGAAAGGATAAACGCAACATGGTCCTCCAAGTGGCGGGATATTATTCAGCCATAAAAATGAAGGAAGCTCTGATGCAGGCTACACTGCGGAGGAACCTGGAAAACATCACGCTCGGCTAACGAAGCCCGTCGCAGAAAGCCACAGATTGTGTGACCTCGTTGTAGGAAATGTCCAGCACAGGCACATGCAGAGGCAGGAAGTAGATACGTGGTTGCCAGAGGCTGGGAGGTGGGGGGATGGGGAGGGACCTTGTAATGAGTGCGAGGTCTCCTTTGGGATGATGGAAATGTTCTGGAACTAGATAGAGGTGATAATTGCAAGGCATTGTGAATGTACTCAACTGAATCAGACGCTTTAAAATGGTTATTGGTTAACGTTATGTTCTGTGAGTCTTACCTCAGTTGAAAAAGAAACCAACTCACCCAATGTCAGTCTTGCCGGCTTCTGCTCTGGCATCAAGGAAGAGGATTGCCAAGGGTCTGTGGTGGGAGGCAGCGCAGGCAGGGGGACGGGAAGGAGCCAGCCGGTGCTCATCCCCGGCTCCTTCCAGGTACTGGCCTCCCACCTGCGAGCCACGCCTGCACCGTGGCCGTGCTCCGGGCTGTGGGAGGGTGGCCGCCGGCTGCCTGCCCACTGGAGCCGCCTGGAAACAGCGGACTCCGGACGGTGGTGAGAGCAGGGTCACAGTGTAGACCAGATGGTTATTGATGGCCACCCAGCAGGGCCACTGGTGACCCTTTGTCGATGACCCATTGGGTGATGACAGGTGGCTGGGAGGGAGGCCGCCGGGCGTCCACAGGATGGGGCATTCTAGCCACTTGACTGTGAAAATCCTCCTCTGTGAGGTCGCCATTTGGTGAGTAGCTCAGTCCGTTCTGGCCGCTCTAACAAAAATGCCGCAGACGGGGCTTTATAAACCGCAGGCGTTTATTTCCCGAAGTTCTGGAGACTGGAAGTCCACGATCGAGGTGCAAGGGATCCAGTGCCTGGAGAGCTCTCTTCTCAGCTCACAGACAGCATCTCCTTGCTGGGTCCTCACTCGGCGGGAGAGCGACGGGCTCCCTGGGACCCCTTCTATAAGGGCACTGGTCCCATTCCGTGGGCGCTCCGCCCTCATGACCTCATCACCTCCCAAAGGCCCAGCCTCCTGACACCATCGCCTCGCAGCTTAGGATTTCAATATAAGAGTCTTTTTCGCCAGAGGGGGACACAAACCTTCAGACCATAGCAGTGACCGTGCACATGGGCCACGGATGTCTTCACACTTTTTGCCCATTCAGAGAAGCCTGTCTACCTACTTCTTCCCCAGACCTCCTTGTCACAATTGTCCAGCTGTCTTCCTTTCAAGTCCCTGGCCATCCAGGCAAACCACCGGCCGCAGCCCATGAATCAGCATATTGTCACATGTCCAGCCATTTCTCTTCCCAAGTAAAGCTAACAACCCAGTGCACTGGCCCCAGTTGTGCCCATCAGCCGGGGGCAGGGGGCGCCCGTCACCCGGTCCTTCGGGGACGTCCCGGGAAAGGGCTGTGTGCTGCAGCTGTCCACTGTCAGGTGGGGCCCGCAGGCGCAGGTCGTGCTCTCCCTGAACCGAGGGCAGGAGCTCCCCGTGAAGCCGCAGGTGCAGGATGGGGGAGAAGGCGCCCCAGCAGGACCCCACGGATCCCTCTTATCCTTGTAATAGCCATAGATTTTTAAAAACCTGAGCAATCCTCCTGGACTCCCTGACGTGGTGTTAGAAGTGGTGGACACAGGGCAAGACGCGGTGCTGAGACTGTCGACGGCTGGGGTGCTCAGTGCAGCCTGTCGCCCGTGCCTGTGGGGCCTGCGAGTTAAGAATGCCCTTTGTATTTTAAATGCTTGAAAAAAAATCCCAAACATTTCACGACATGAAAATTACGTGCAATTCAAACCTCAGCGTCTGGGCTGGGGACAGGAGACGGTATTGTTTAAGAGGACAAACTTGCAACAAGTAGTGAATAAACCCTAGAAGTCTAACGTCCAGTACAGTGAGTACAGACGACAATGCTGTGTCACAATCATCAGTCTTGCTAAGACACTAGTGGTTGAAATAACCAACCGCTAAACAGAAAGAATAATTACGTGACATGCAGAAGTGTTACTTATTGTTACAATGGTAATCAGACTACGATATGTAAATGTATCAGATTAACAGGTTGGACCCCTTAAATTTACACAATGTTATATGTCAAGTATATTTCAATTTAGAAACATCTGCTGTCCTTAAATAAAATTTTATTGACAAAGCTGTGCGACAAGGCAAAGTTGAGTCGTTGCAACAGAGACTGCCAGCCCTCGAAACGGAAAATGTTTCCTGTCTGGCTCTTTTGCGAAGTGTGCAGAGGCCTCCTGTAAAGGGCCTGAGACTGAAACATCAGCGTGCCGCTGACGTCCTCGCTGGGACAGCAAAGGGGTGGGAGGAATTCGGAGTGAGAGTGGAGCAGCTCGGGGACTGGGACGGGCTGGACTGGCAGTTAACACTGGAGGAGGCAGTTAACACGGCGCATCTGGGCCTCCAGGGCGAGTGGGACTGAGGACTGAGATGGACGGGCTGGTGGTGGGCATAGCAGGAGCAAAGACTCGGAGGCCGGACCTGCCTCACGGAAGGCCCCACCCGACGGCGGATGGGACAGAGCCATCCCATGAGCCACTGCCCGCCTGACCAGTCGCCAGGTCCCGTCTACCATCTCCTGTTTCTCCGTTTCTTCTGCTTCCCTCTCTGCTGTCACCGCCCTTGCTGGGCGCCATCAGCAGTCATTGCCTTGGGTCTGGAGATATGTCCCGCCTCCCTTAGCTGGTCTCTCTGCCCTTTTCATCTCCTTTCCTTTTCTTTCTTTCTTTTTAAATCTTCCTTTTCTTTTTCCTGCTTTTTCTCCCCCAAATCCTTCCAGTACATAGTTGTGTATTTTAGTTGTGGGTCCCTCCAGCTGTGGCATGTGGGACGCCACCCCAACATGGCCCGATGAGCAGTGCCGTGTCGGCACCCAGGATCCAAACCGGAGAAACCCTGGGCCACGGGGCTGGCCCCTCCTTTCCTTTTCTTAATTGAGACAAAATACATGTAACATAAAATTAACCATTTTGTTTATTTATTTATTTTTTTGAGGAAGATTAGCCCTGAGCTAACTGCTGCCAGTCCTCCTCTTTTTGCTGAGGAAGACTGGCCCTGAGCTAACATCCATGCCCATCTTCCTCTACTTTATACGTGGGACGCCTACCACAGCATGGCTTGATGAGTGGTGCCATGTCCGCACCTGGGATCTGAACCGGTGAAACCCTGGGCCGCTGAAGCGGAGTGCGCAAACTTAACCACTCAACCACAGGGCCCGCCTCCCTATTTTTACTTTTTGAAATTGTGGCAAAATATACCTAAGATTTACCACTTTAACCATTTTAGGTGTATAGTTCCGTGGCATTAAGTCGTGTAGCCGTCACCACCATCCGTCTCCACAGCTTTGTCATCATTCACTAACTCCTCTGCCCCTCCCCCAGCCCCCGCCATGCGCTGTTCTACCTTCTGAATCTAAGTCAGTGAGCTTTCACACATGGAAGTCTGAGGCTGCCAGCTCTCCTGAGCCCTCAATGGCTCCCACTGCCCTCAGGGTAAAGGCCAAATGGTTTAGAGGACAATGCGCCTTGCATCTCGGTCCTCTCGGTTTGCTCCCTCTTGGAGCTTCCTTCCCTGCATGGAATGTCCCTCGGCTCCCCCTTCTCCTCCCAGACTCCTCGTCCTCCGGGCTTGCGACACCTTCCCTCCCCCGCGGAGGAAGGTCGGCCTGTCCAATGTCCTCCACCTGCTCCCTCTCAGCGCACGTCCCGGTTGTCGTTCCTTCTATTTCTGCACCTTTTCTTTGGTTGACATGGTGGTTGATGTGGTCTCTGCCTCCTCTGTCTGACAGGGAGCCCAGGGGACCCACAGTGCCCGGCTGACTCCATTGTGCTCCTGAGCTTGCGCCTGGCGCACAGCCCGTGCTAACGTACAGTAGAAGGAGCTGCAGAAATTGCTAGCAAGGGAGGGAGGTGAGAGGTCTGCTGTCTGGGAGGGTGGGCGGGCTGAGGCAGGAGGCTCCGGTGGGTGTGGGGAGCTCACGGGCTGCAGGTCAGGTGGGGTGCCTGAGCGGAGAGCCTGGGGGCTGGCTGGGTGGGGGCTGCAGTTCCCCGGATGGAGCAGTGGGCGCGGAGAGGTGGACACCTGGGAGGAGTGCAGCCCAGAAGTGGGGGCAGGTGGAGGCGGGGCTGAGAGGTCGGGTGGACGCTGCTCTTGCACAGAGGGCCACCGCCGTGCACATGCCTTCAGAGCCTGGGAAGGCCGATCTGGGGCTGGAGCCCTGCCAGGGGCCGGCAGCCAGACCCCCCGGGTCTGGTCTGGTGTCCTTGCTGCCAGGTGAGTTCCTGGGGCAGAGCTGACCTGCCTTAGCTGGGGACATCCGCACAATTTGCAATTTCCATGGCCCAGCTCTGGCCAAGGAGAGAGGCCTTTGCAAAGCCGGACTTGGCTTTCCCCCACCTGGCTGGCCTCCTAATGCCTGATTCTAGACGCCAGCTCGTCACAGTGTCTGCGTGGGAGCGCACGCCCTCACCTCTGGGGTGGGGGCTGTTTGAGGCTGCAGGGGAAGGGGCGGGAGGGCGGGGAGGCGGGGATGTCTGGACCCAGCGCAGAGCAGGCTGGCGGGGTCCGGGCGGCCGCTGGCTTCCCGCCAGCCACCCGCAGCATCAGATGGCGCTGAGCTATATTTAAAGGCTGCTTTCTCCGCCTCCGCTGCGGGGTCTTCACCAGGACGAATGAGTCACACGGAGCCCTGCTGTGGCCTCAGGGCTGGCCAGCTCCGCCCCGAGAGGCTGGGAGCATCTCCCTGAGAAGCAATCCTGTAGAAGCTCCAGGAGCCTCTGGTGACCCGGGGTCTCCCTGCCCAGGCCACCCCTCCCTCTGCACCCCCTTTGCCCCAGTGAACAGCCCAGTGGATGCCCCCGGCTCAGGGCCCCCTGGGCCTGTGCAGCTGCCTCTGCAGCCAGGTAATTCCTGTGGGGTCCTGGACGTCGCTTCCTCCCCCCGGGGTGGGGGCAAGGTCAGATTCTCTTGCTTTTATAGCATCACCATGTGCTGCCGTGGTTGGTGCTGTGCACACACACACACATACACGCACACATGTACATGCACATACATGCACATGCGCACACACACACAGCACAGAGCCAGGTAACCCCAGGGCCTGTGCACACACATCTTCCCTGCCCGCTGCTGTTTTATTGATTAGAAGGCTGAGGTCCCCGGTTGGGATGTGTCTCAGTCTGCTCCAGCTGCTAGAACAGAACCACACACAGGGCCACTTATAAACCACAGACATTTATTTCTCACAGTGCTGGAGGCTGGAAGTCCACGGTCAACACACCTGGAGAGCTCTCTTCCTGGTTCACGGACGGCACCTTCTGGCTGCGTCCTCACATGGTGGAAGGGGCGAGGGGGCTCTCTGGGGTCTGTTTCATTAGGGCGCTGATCCCATTCATGGGGCCTCCACCCTCATGACCTCATCACCTCCCAAAGGTCCCGCCAACAAATACCGTGTGTCTGAGGGTTAGGATTTCAACACACGAGCTTTGTGGGGGCACAACACTCAGACCACCCAGGATGTGTATGCAGGTGGCATAGCAGGGGCTGGAGGGTGGTCTGTCCAGTCCTACCGTGCAGCCGTCACCCACCTACCCAGCACGAGGCCCGCAGAGTGGGACCCTGCACCCGGACACACCCCCCGCGGCGGTGGGGGAGACCGCCCGGGCACAACAGAGCTCAAGAATGACCCTAAGCGTGTGAAGATAGACCTGCCCTACCCAGGACGGTCGCCACGAACTGCATGTGGCTATCGGGTGCTTGAAATGTGCTGGTCCAAATTGAGATCTCCCAGGTATGGACCCCAAAGAATCGAAAACAGGTGTTCAGATAAATTCTCGTGCACGCATGTACATAGCAGCATTATTCACAAGAGCCCAAAGGTAGAAACATCCCAGATGCCCATCAACAGATGAACAGATGAAGAAAACGTGGTGTACATATGCAGCGAAATACGCTCCAGCCATAAAAGGGAAGGAAGCCCGGATACAGGCTGCAGCGTGGACGGACCTTGGAAACATTATGCTCAGCAAAGGAAACCAGTCTCAGAAGGCCACACAGTGTGTGACCCCATTTATGTGAACTGCCCAGAACGGGCAGATGCATCAAGACAGAAGCAGACCAGTGGGCGCCGGGGCTGGAGGAGGGGGACCGGGGAGTGACTGACTCATGGGCACGGAGTCTATTTTGGGGTGATGGAAATATTTTGAACCTAGATGGGGGTGGTGGTCACACGACATCGTGAATGTACTCAGTGCTGTGGAATCGTGCACTTTGCATGAGTAATTTATGTGAATTTTGCCCCTATTAAAAAAAAAACCTTAAAATTCACCTGTTCCTTTTTACTTTCTTCACGGCGGTGACCGGAATGTTTAACGCGACCCACTTTAAATTGCTGTTGGACGTGGCTGGTCTCGACCACTGCCTCCAGGGGGTCGGGTCACATTTGGGTCCTCCGCACAGCAGGTGAAAACCCACAGGACCCCCGCTAGCCCAGAGCAGTGGTGGGGGGGCTGCCTGTCCAGCCCTGTGCCTGGGGCCTCTGATTCACTCTTCAGGTCGCAAGCTGGCTCTGGGGGTGGGGGGGGAGGACGGAGCTGGTGCAATGCCGTCAACCTCTCTGAACTTTGACCACCTGCCGTTCAAAGGCCTGTTGTTTCCCTGGGTGGTTTAGTGGCTGGCGCCCCAGTGGGAGGGGAGGCCCTGGGAGGGGGGGACTGACTAGGATCCAGCCAGGAGGGGCATGTCCTCATCCTCCGGGAGGCCACGGGGGTGGGTGGAGGGAACCAACCGGGTGCAGCTTCAGGTCCACCCTTTTCCCCTCTGTGACCTTGGACAAGACCTTGGAGAAGTGACAGAAGCTTTCTGACCCTCCGCTGTCCCCTCTGAGCGTGCTTCCCTCATCTTCTGCTCCTCTCAGCCAGGCCCCGCTCACAGCGCTCCTCAAGCTCCTCCGCCGGCCCCCCGGCTCCCCGGGCCTCTTCCTGAGAAAAGTGGAGGCAGAGGCTAGAGGCTCCTGGACACCCGGTCTCCCTGAGCCATCGGCTCGGTTCCCAGGAGTCGTTAGAACGTCCTTTGGACAGAGAGGCCGGCACGGACACCCCGGCGTCCCTGCTGGTCCTGCCCGGTCCCTGGGGCTGA